CAGTAAAAGACAATTTTAACCTGGATTGGTAGACCTTCATATTCATATTTCATATTTTTTCATATTTTAGCATGTCTTCAAAGCTTTTTTGAGGGCCTTTCGAAGATTAAATGTTAAATTAAATGTTAGATAACGTGTTAAATTAAATGTTATTAATAGTTCTGTCAATGTTTGATTTGTCTATCGTTTACATGGAAGTTTAGGGGTCGATACAAAGATATGTTCCTGATGTTATTTTGCGGTAAGGTAAGCAGATATCGGGAGATGACAAAACGCGGAGCCCTACTCCATGGAGTACCCTATGGAGTACCCTTTGGAGTACCCTAATGGAGTACCCCTAAAAGTCACGTATTGGTGAAATAAAATATTTCAGTTTATGAACATGGTGAATCGTTTAGATGTACATATCCTAAAATATATTGAGCTTACCAGCTCTCCGAATGTCACAGTTCGATACAATCCAGTTCTTTGGGGGACAGTTGACTAGGGCTCTCAGTCTTACTGGTTCCTCCATTTTGGTGTTACCGCTGCGTAATGAGTCCTTTGACGAGAAGACAAACAACTCCATGTGATGAACAAAACCCACTGTTTCGATTTCTGCACGACGTAAAATATTTAAGCCTACTGCATTTCCCAGATCAACAACCCCAGTCGAATTTATTTGCCGACCCGTCACTGCTTTTTTTGGTTTGTTTACATACCTCAATTTTATTGCGCTACAAATAGATGGGCGTGGAGAAGCTCAGTTTAAAGATAGGGATTACCATTTCAAGTCTCAACCTACAAATGTAAGCTTGTATCCTCATCGTTTCGCACATTTAAGAAACCCATGAGGCCATGTGTTACTAGATGGAGCGCCACACTTCTTACAGACGCCACACATAAACAGGTATTTTGGAAGACGTAAAACCCGTTGCAGAATGAAGGTTGTCCCTCCTTTTGGCTTTTTGAAAATCATGAAAATAGATGGTAGTCGGCCTATTACCGATAACGTTCATGGATGCTAGCAACATTAAAGCTTTCCGTTGGAAGTTGGCTGCAGTTTAATGTTAATTTCAAAATGGCGGTCAGTTCGTGTACTACATCGAACTGCGACAATCGGAGAGCTGACAAGCTCAAAATATATCGGGATATGTACATATAAACGATTCACCGTGTTCGTAAAGTATTTTATTTGACTGATACATGATTTTAAGGGGTACTCCATGGAGTAGGGCTCCACGTTTTGACATCTCCCCGAAATACGTGATAAAATTAGGAAATGATAACCACCACAGCGTGAACACTACTGAGCCTGTAGGCTGGTTTTCACTTGCGACGGAGTCGTAGTCGGAGTCGTAATCAGAAGCGTGGAGCGATACGATCTAGTTAAAATCAAACCGTCGGAGTCGGAAGCAGAACGCCGATTCTGCCTATGACTCCGTCGCTTACGAGACTGCACAACATATGAACGCATATTTTGCATCAGTATTTACACAAGAACAAAAGTCTCTTCCGGAATTTGATCATGTTCTCAATGAAAAGTTGTGCAATGTATTATGTACACTTAGCGAAGTGGAAAAACATCTGAAAAACCTAGACATACAGAAGTCCCCAGGTCCTGATAAATTAATGCCTCGTATCCTAAAAGAATTTGCATTAGAACTATCTACGTCACTTTGTAACTTATTTAACAAGTCGTTCCAATCCGGCTCACTACCCAAAGACTCGAAAATTGCACACGTTATTCCAGTCTATAAAAAGGGGCCAAAATATAAAAAGGAAAACTATCGCCAAGTCTCGCTAGCATCTATCATCAGTAAAACGGCGGAGAAGATTGTGAAATCAAGAGTTGTCTCATTTTGGACTGAACATCAACTACTAAAAGNTGAAAACTGCATTGTCGGAAGCGGAAGCGGAAGAATAAACCAATCACAATGCTCGATTCCATCTTTCCAAAATGCACATATAGCCGTAACAAATTTAAGCGTGTGAGCTTGACTACAAAATTACGAAATTAAAAGTTAAAATACTCGAAACCTACCGAAAGTACAATTCACGATCACCAAGTCGTAGTTCGCTGACGAGGTTAGCATACTCTTCCTAAGCTGCTCGACGTCGGTAGATATCACGAAACCGAAATCTCTCTTTTTCGAACAATATTATTCCTGTATTGTCTCTGCCTGCGAAAAATAATGATTAATAGGAGCCAAAGTTGCTCTTCGTCCGCCATGTTGTCTTTGGCGCCAAAATTTGTACTTTCGCGGGCCTGGAATCGAGCATTGTGTTTGGTTTATTCTTCCGCTTCCGCTTCCGACAATGCAGTTTTCACTAGATCGTAAGCGACGGATTCATAAGCGGAATCGGATGAAAATGGGAACGTTCTGATTCTTACGACTCCGTTTTTCGATTTTCACTAGGTCATAAGCGCTCTTACGACTCCGACTATGACTCTGACTCTGTCGCTAATGAAAACCAGCCTTATGAATGCACGCAGCATAACGATTGGGGGCAGTGAAACTTACACAAAAAGTGAAAAACGTGCGACTACTCCTTGATTCTCTTCATCCCTGGACCGTACGCATTTCGGCGGGTTTAAAAAGCAGCTGCCAAAGGGACATGGAAAAGTGGTTATCGGGAGTGGATGAGTCATCCATCAAAAATCCAACTCCGACGGCTCGAAGAATGTTTTATGGTCACCACAACGCAAGTCGTTACCAAGGAGGAGTTGCTCGCAATGCTGTTGGTCCACGGATAACGTAGTAAAGAAAGCGTAGAAGTCAATGTAAACAATGCATTGCGAATGGCCGGGTTCCTGGCAAAGCTAGAGAACTGGGTCGTAGGTATAGGCGGAAGTAATTTTATAACAAAAGTAAACTAATCGGTTTAAGAATTTTAACTTTCATTTTCAAGATTCTCGCCAGAATCATGTCCCGTCACAAAAGTGAAAAGAGTGCAAATCAAATGAAAGCTTTGTGCCAATTTGTCAAAGTCCTGCCGACAGGGCTACACGTTACTTTCGGCAGTGGATGTATCGTTTGGCAAGTTGAATCACAGCCAAGTGCACATTTGATAACTACGACTCAAGTCGTAACCAAGAATGATCTCCTGGGAGACAGCTCGATCTTTGTTCTGTTTCAGGATGGTCAAAGGTTCGAACTAAAATTAAAAAGTAGAGATGAAGTCGATCTCCCTGATCCCAAAACCGGAAGAGTGTTGAGGAACATCGGAGGTAACGAAATTCAAGTGTCCTTCCTACGCATTCCCGTAGACATGTTCGACTTGAGGATATGGCCGGTCAGAAAATTATTTCCTATGGGAAAACGCGCCCTTTATTGCATTTATCCAAGTGATGAGGACTTGGAGACTTCCATTTCAAACAAGAATATTACGTGCGTGATTACTGAGATCAGTAAGGATCGGCGAGGGTTTTACATCACTGAACCTTCCTACCTAAGTTTCGGCGAAGATACAAGTGAATTTGCCCTGCTGTCCGCCTCAGATCCCGATTGTGCTTTTCCACCAAAGAGTTTCAAAGACTTTCCTAAAGAGGTGAAGCCGAAAGGTGCTCCTCTTTTGGATGCCAAAGGAAGATTGGTGGGAATGCTGGCAGTAGCCAGCTCAGGAGAACGAAAGATATATCCTGTGTTCCTTCCAACCTTGACAGGCGAAAGCCACGTTGGTAGTCTTGGTAAGTTCAGGGTGCTATATTTGTTTTCCAAAATATTTCCATTGAAAATCAAAACAAAGCCGATACAAAGTAACGCTTTGTAGATGATTGAAGGGGGTAAGTTTCTACAGAAATTGTGGTGCTACGTCGATGCAACAGTATAATTTGATTTTACCAACTGAGTTGAAAATGTAAAAATGGGCCATCGTAAAGAGCCTCTAATACTGATATTTCGAGCGTTATAAATGAACTCGGGTGTAAGTGTGACTACTTTAATTTTAGACGTGGTACTATTTATATTCGATAGAGAACTTACGGATCATTAAATATCACAACTGAATTAAAAAATATTTTACATGCCTAGAATGCGAAGCCGCACCAGGGGGGGGGGGGGAAACAAACTGAGCTGGTCACATGTAAAATAAAAGTTTCACATTAGAAACTCCATGAGATGGAAACAGATTTCGACAATTAAACCATGATTGACTACTCTTCGACGGCATTAGATACAAAAAAATTGCTGTGCTGTATGGATTGGCAAGTGAAACACTACGTTGTATCACTACTATGAGTTGACAAAGGTAGATGAACAGTTGTAGTGGTATACCTTCAATAATAGCGTTATGTCACACAATGAAACTGTTACTAAGTGTAAACATTCAAAACCTTTCTTGTAGGAAACGAGAAAATCAGTAATGCAGATATGACGCCTACACAAAACACAATATTTAGACCTGGAACGGATGAAGAAGAGCAACATAATGATCATTCACCCAAAATTCCACCGTCAAAAGAGTCTATAAATGAAGATAAGGGGGCACAAATCAGCACAACAGATAGGCAAGGGAGTGCCAGTCCTCCTTCAAGTCCTTTGCATGAGAGTTCTCCCGAAGCCAATTTAGGAAATGGCGCTGCTCAAAAACAGCATAAAGACCAGCAACACAACGAGTCTGGAAGTCAGTCACATCGACTACAAAATGAAGAGGAATGTTCATCGGATGAAATTGAAAACTACAATTCCGCTGAAGAGGAGCACGGCCAGCCACAAGATGATCCCAGAAGTTCAAGTCTTCGAGAAGATGGCAAGGAAAGTTGTTCAAAAGAAACCGTAAGCAATTATTTCTCTGACATGAAGCTATCAAAAGCCAGTGAAGGAAAGGATTCTGTTCAAGTCTCTAACCGAGAAAGTTCATTGCTGTTTAATAACAACTACAATGCTATCAATAATGTGATATTCACTTTATTACAGGAGGAGGATAGCATTGATTCTGATTTGGAGAGGGATTCTGCAGCGACGTTAGAAGAACACGATCAGGAAGTCGAGAACGCTGGACATGGCGATGCCAACAATGAGGTTTCACTTCGGGAAGAACCAGATGGAGGGTGCAGAGGTAAGAGTAGTGACCTATAATACCTAACATTGCATGCTGATTGAGATCAACAAATAGACTATGCTTACAGTGATGCATCCAACTTACATCTAACCTAAGATGTAAATTTCCGAACTGCTTCATGTCAATTTTGAGTAGGAACAAAACATCTGAAGTAATCTGATTCTTTACACTACCTACTAGTAGTCCTTCATCCTCAGTAAGATGCCCCAGGCCACCAGAAATAGGCCATTTCCAAATAACATTGGCCTCTCTTTCAAGATGAGGCCTGGTGGTCAACCATTTGTATGAAGTGAGTTTGATTTGCATGCAAACAAAAACTTACAGTCATATGAAAGGATGAACACCTGGACTTGCTTTGAAAAAGAGGCCGAAGGTAATCCGGAAATCAGTGGGCTATTATCTTTTGTGTGTTATATGTTAAATATATGAACAATAACTGAGCATATTTTGTCTTTTCTGTCAAAAGGTATTTGTTTGAATATTTAGGGAAAAAAAATTCTAAATGTCAATGTAAATTTTGTTTTTTGAAGGATTGAGTGCTCTCCAAATATCTATTGGTTTGTACGAGTGATTTACAACATTGGAAACCTTTGAAGTACAATAATTTACTTTTTTACATATTAAATGAACATTACACAAAAGACCAAATAAAAACTGTGATAACTAAGTTTGGAAAACGAAATAAATATGAATTACAACACTTGCCTTTAAGTTGGAAATTCCCAACTGTTACAGTAGTGCATGCATATAAATGTCATATCTATCCAATAACTTAGGCATAATGCATCAGCTGCTTGGCAGCAAGTATGATACAGAAGCAGTAAAAACTGTTCTCTAGTCAGGCTGCTAGTAGCATTATAAAGGTCAAAAGCATGCAAGTAAAGCAATATTTTTACAACATTGCAGAAGGAGATCCCATGGTAAATAGTTACCTTAATGAAAATGAATCACATGACAGGACTCGCATACTTGCAACCCAGAATTCTCATCATGATCAACTGTCTGACCTGTATCAGTTGCTTGACGATGAAGGTAGTAAGTTGTAGATGAATTGATAGTTTCCTTTTTTTCTTTCTTTGTATCAACAGGTTATTTATCAAGAAGTAGCATTTGTATAACTGCCCCTTATCCAGCCCAGGGAGGGAAGGGTAGTTGAAATTTTAGAATGACACTGATGATCCAATGGTGCAAAAATCAAACTCTAAATATGGGCCCATTAGTTCCTTATTTCTGCTGTCTTAATTACCTCCCTATATCTATAAATTTGAAACAATCATTGTTTGAAGTACCATGACAAACATAAGCTTTGGAAAAAGAGAATTTAACGATTGGCCTGAAAAAGTTTATTTCATATCCAGAGGTAATTTTGTTAGTTCCTCCTTTTTATTCAATTTAAGACTTGGTCTGGTGATATTAATATGTTATTAGTGATTGCACTACATCCTTGTTGTCTGCATTCTAGATTCTCCTTATCCCAAGATAGTTGCAGATCCCACCTCCCCTGAGCACAAACCAACTCTTCGAGAAAGACAAAGCAATTCCCAACATAGGATGGATAGAATTGCACCAATGCGACCTGATGAGGTCTCCAAAGGGAAGGAACATGTCAATGCAGGTAATCTTCAATTGCTGAGAATCATTCCGACATGTAGTCTATTTTGCAGCTATTCTTTAGGACGCTCCCACAAGGGTTATACATCACATTATGAACCCAAAGAATGGCTGCAAAGGAGACAATCAGACATGGATAAAAACACACATGCTAAAAAATCCTTTTTGGGGTTACTGGCATCTAAAAAGCCAGTAACTATAGTGGGTGTGTAAGTAAGCCAGACGTAGCCTTTTCAGAAAATTTTAGAGCAATCTGACACAAATAACTAAAAAAAAAGCACTGGCCCTACTCAAGTTCTTTCAATTGATTTTCACCATTAACACAAAAGTTTTTATTTAAAAAATGCTTTACTCCGTTTATACTTAGCATGGTTGCATAAATATCGCATTCCAATGTAACAAAGTTTTGAGCTGCATGACTCTGAATATTGCTATGATCATGGTAAATCTGATGTGAAACTCAAGCTATGACAACAAGCAAAGTTTATTGGCTGATTAATCTAATTATTTTACATTGTAGTCACCATCTGTCTTCTCATTGGCTAAATGCTCACGGTTAATTCTGGGCAGAGTTATGTTCTGGGAAACAGCGCAACCTACAGATTATTCACTAATCTATACCTACAGATTAGTGAATAATCTGTAGGTTGCGTGTGCAATGCATGATTTCCGATGGAGAAATGTCGAGTTCACGGACCGCAAAGTAAGAATGGCTTCTCGATTTGCTTCATCGACCCAGCAAGAAATTGAGAAATTACTTGAAGATAAAGATTCGGAAAATACTAAAAGATCGACAAAAGTGGGGAAGGAACTGTTCTACGAATTCCTTAAAGAGGAAAATATCCAGGAGCCACACGACAAAAAGGAATCAGCCCAAGTGAAAATTTGTTTACCACACAGTTGTACATTTTTAAGTGTTCGGAAATAAACTGTGTTCGCTGCAATAATGCATTTGGCATCATTTTCTTAAAACAATGTATAATAAAACAATTATTGGATGAGGTTTTTGTAATATCCAGAATAATCAAGGTCTCGGTTAGAATTATCAGCCTCAGCCTTCAGTTTTGGCTGATAACACTTACCTCGACCTTGCTTATTCCGGATATCACAAAAACCTCATCCAATAATTGTTTATCATCTCATGTAAACAACAACTGCTGGATCAAACAGTGATTGAAACACTTTCTATAATTATGTAATTCAACTTATGACATTCATTGCCATCTCTCCAGACTTTTTAGGAGCTCTTGAGCAATCTCACAAAGTGAGACTCAAAAGACATCAAGATTTTCTAAAGATCTTTCAGTGGACTTTCATCAGTATAATACATTCATTTGATAAAAATAATTAACTCTGTTTGAATTAAAAGCATATTTCAGAAAAACAGATTTGAAGTTAGCAGGACTACACCAACTCAAATGTCCCTGTAACATGTTAAAACAGTAACAACATGTCCTTTCGGGGTATTTTTGTTTTGTTTTGTTTTGTCTTGTTTTTGTTGAATTCAAGGTAGGAATACCCTTAATTCTTTCTCAACGTCATCTTCAGGTTCATACGTGGAAAAATTAATCGTCAGAAAAGAACTCATCATGGATGTGCTCTCCCTCTATTTGGATAGATCAATCTATCCAAAGTTCAGAGGTGCTCCACTCTTCGCACAACGTTGGGAGCATCTTGCAGACCAATGTAAAGTAGACGTTAAAGTAAAAAAGCAGTGTGGGAGCTTTGCTCATCTGAGCCCAAGTGAAGCTATGTTTGAATACTTGTGCCAATCTGGGAAGTCAGTTACAGTTGGAATCCTGAAACAATACCTCCTGGAAATTTCAAGAAAAGATGTTCACGATGAGCTGGCAAACAATCAGGATTTGCTTGGTATGAACAACATAATTTCTTGCACCCTTGACGCACAATGACCATGTACTGTACTTTTTAAATTCACCCATATGTTTTGGTGTGCTTATTTTTGTACACGAGGGACTGAAACCAGGAGCTGTTACAACTCTTCTTGTCCTCTCCTGATATAAACCATTTTATGCTAAAATGGGGATTCTTTGTAATTATTTTCACAATTGTTTTCCAGATGATGCCAATGTGAATGACCTTTGCGATAAACATCCTGAAACACTGTGGAATGTTTGTTTAAACCTCGATGACATGCGTTCTGTCAGTCACTGGTATCACTTAGGTCTGAAGATAGGTATCAATGGTGAAAGACTCAAAAGCTTTAAGGATCCCTCTGAATTTAGCCCTAGCCAGGCAATCTTAGAAAAGATCGAGACACTGAGGCCACAGCTTCCATTAACAGAAATGCAAATGGTTCTGAAAGAATTGGAAAAGTGGATACCAGGCATAGGCAATGTGCTGAATGATTTACTAGGTAATTTAAGAACGAAATCTAAACATAATTCTCACTCTATATCTTATGTGAAGGAAGGAAGTAAGATTCAACATTTGATAAGACAGCTAATTCATTTAATTCCTTCTTCTATTTTTCAGGGTTTTTTTGGTTAATCACTTTTGGTTAAGCACTTGCCTTAGGTTCTATTTAAAACAGTATGAATCCCCTCTGCTAACAATACTGGAGAAAAAAGTCCGAGAAAACTCAAAACAGTTATGGTATATTGACATCGTGAGGTGCTTACTGTGACAGAGGCAGGTTCTGATGTTGTTATTTGAACAACGAGACAGACTTGGAGCCACAATAAAATTTATTTATACAGGAAAGTACAAAAGAAGTAATACTGATTAAAAGAAAGGGTGATTGCAAGCTAAAAGAAATAATAAATGACAAATAGCAAATCAATAATTCAAAATAATGAAATAAAACAATTAGTAAAAAATACAATCGATTGTCATACAATAGCAAGGCACTAACACGACAATTTTAAAGCATTGCATGACAGAACAGTAATCATTGTGTGACATTTAAAAGACTTAATCCTATTAACCAAATATAGAACTATTGAATGGTGGGCTATTCTTAGAATTATACATGAAATGACTGAAAACAAGTCAATACTGATAAAACAATAGCTAAAAACAACATAACATTAGATAAGACTAATTTCAATCACAATTTCATATTTCCCTTTGACTTAAAAACTAGGAAGACTGGCAAAATCTCTTTCTGTGATAGGACAACATCTGTCATTACTGATGAACTAAACAATGAAGACTGTAGTGAAATATCTGATTTCACCAATGAACTTTAAGTCAAGTATACAGATAAATGCAATGTTCTGAAAGCTGAATGCAATCTTGACACATTTTGAACATGAATCAACTAATATAAGGAT